GTACGTTCTAGAGGAGGTGAACTGGTTGGTTTTTCATCGAATATACTGTATAATGCGAGTCCCATTGTTACTTTAGGGCAAAGAGTATGTGACAATGGCGAGATACCTGGTTAAAACAGAAGAATGTCCGAACGTTGAAAGTGCGACTGTTGTAGACAAACTAATTTCCAAAATCACGGTTTGTGTGTTACAGTTTGCACGTAGTGTATACTTGTGTTTAATTTGGTTGTTCCCTATTGTTTGCGAATTATTAGTTCTTCCTCATAAATTTAAGACAGGCTGTTCTAGTTCCGATGGTCCTGTCAAAGATTAGAATGAAAATTTTAGTATGCTTTTTTCCGTATCAAGATTTTAGCTTCTAGGGTTCAATCGAAGTAGATGTGATGCCTGGCGTTGGCGACCCAACAACCCACTTGATGCCACAGCAGCCGATTCACAGAGCCGTCTTCCCAAGAGCTTCACTTTGTGGCGAAATGTTGAAGCTAGTGCCCAATCCATACCAGTTTATGCTCGATGATGTCTACATTATGGGGACTAGCGGTATTTTTAATTTTATTTATTTATTCATTTATTTTAAGTGCTGTCTTTTATTCTTCATGATTTCACAGGAAGGAGTGTTTTTAGGACAAAATATTAATGACTTGAAAAGATTTTGCGAGGAAGTAACTAGTGTTGACCTGTTGAAAAGTGTACTGTATTATCAGCATCTCGCTCCAACGGTTCCTGACACTACTGATGGTTTTCCGTTTGAAAACCGTGACCCTTTAATAATCGAAGAAGATTTTCCTCATATATTCTTTGCTGGTAATCAAAATCGTGCAGAATTTTCGTTAACCGAATTTGAAGAAGGACGTAAAACCTTATTGTTGTCTATACCTAGTTTCTCAAAAACTAGATCAGTGTTGCTCGTCAATCTGAAGACACTGGATGTGATCGAACAAAGTTTTGATTACGAGAACATTGACTAATTAAGCGGCTGACTGTTTTCTTAAGCCTCCTGAAACTTGTTAATTGACACTGTTGAAATATGGACTAGCATTATTTCAAGTGACTTTGAGACTGCAGATGGAAATTTTAGTTTTATTCCTTTCACGAACAGGAAAGCCTTTGCTAATTGGTGATCTCATCGTGGATCTTCTTGTGACATCTTCGTTTTTAAAATGTTTTTTTATGTCTGTTAAACAGTCTTATTGCTATGCTGTAACTTTTAAGTTGCGAAATCTGACTGACTCATTTCTTTTGATCATCGGAGAAAAGCGTCTTTCTGCTGGAGCATTATTATAGCAAACAATAGCAGACAGGTTGGGGTTGTCGTGTGTAGAGTGGAACTTATTCATCTCACTTACTTTTAGAAGTACGATTGTAAAGCAATTTTAGAACAAAGAGAAAAGTGCAACTGCATGCTATATTTCTTCTTTGCTATAAGTCAATTACCAGTTTGGAATCTCAGTTTGAGTGCTTCTACTCGGAGGTTCTATTACTAAGGCCGGTGAGCCAGCGGTCAAGAAGAAGCATTCCACACTTATTCTGCTGATAGCGCTCGATGGAATCTTTATAGCAACTTTTTTCTCAATCTGTGCAAACGAACGCTTGAAGCAGTCGACCACGCCGGAAAAAAAGTTCATCAAACGAGCAGGATTCGGTAAATTAAAACTAGCTTTGACTCTCAAACGCCTAGTTTTTTGAAGGTTGACGTCAGAAACTTGCTAGTGAGTCAAAGAACCGAGAGTTTAAAGAGACGACTGAAGTCAGACGGGGAATTTTTGGACACATGTTTAGTACATCACGGTGGTTTAAAAATGATTACTTATTTCTTTACTTGAGCAGAAAGTTACAGTTTAAGTTATGCCTTCGGCTAAATAAGGTTCTTTTATTTTACATTTTTTTTCCCGTTTAAGCAGAACTTGGAGATGATCTTAACAAATAGCATTGGCGTCTGAGCTGTTTGGGAATTGGAACAATTATCTCGTAGGGAGAGAAAAATAAATTCTCAGTTACTGAAAGCTTAGCTGTCGCATAGTGACAGCTAACAATATTTACTCAGTAATTGTTCTGCAGAACAGATTTCATTGATACTTGCTAGGTTTCTGCGTAGACGCAGGCGCTAGTCTAGTTCGAGGTGAAAAAAAAAGGTTCAATGAGCATTGTAGGTGTAAGTTTGCAGAATTGGTGGGGACTGAGGGAGTATCTGCAGATGCATCATTTTTCAATCAGCAATCTAAAAAAAAGACCTTAAAAAGAGTGTAATTAATGCTAAAGGGAAACAATGGACTGTTATTACCGAGGAAAAGACAGTCAGATCAAGAAGTTGGTTCAGTTCCCGGTAGTTTCCTCATTTCTGTTGTATATTGCGACAGTCTGCTTTCATACCGTCCTAGCACTTCCAGTCGCGCTACGATTACGTGAAAATTGCAATCTCTGTTCATGATATAAAGTTGACCTTTTTTTAACAAGCTGAGTAACGCGTCATCGCATTGAGTAAATGAGCTGCTGACAGGTTGGCAGAACAGTTAGGAACGGTCAGAAATTGACGACAGCCTTTGAGATGTAGCGTTCTTTTCACATCTTGTTCGCTTATTTATAGCCCCTTGACTGTTAGTGGAAATGAGCAGGCCAGAATTTGGTTAATGGTGGAATCCATCACTCTTTTGGCTGATCTTGAAAGCTCAAACTTAAGTGGTTTAACAGCAAGCACTCTTTGCTGGCAATAAGTGGTGCCTGTTCTGTTTTGTCTTAAGGTTCTGCCGAATTCATGCCATCGTACATACAAGCCAACCACTGTTTCCCAAAAATCGACCTGGCTTGCGTTGACGTTGACATTTTGTCATTTCCAAAGTTTTGTAATCGTTCGCCTGCTTCTGACAATTTGACTAACAGCTATTTGGAAGCTTCGACGCGGAGGAACTCTTCAATAATATACGACTTGATTATTTCGTTCGAACGTGAAGTCGGCGAAATTTTCGGTCATCAAAATAGCTGTTTTCAAATTAGCTCTAACAACCACTTTCCGTTCAAGATTTTCTGGTCTAAAATAGCAGTCTTCCCTTGAATGTTTTATCCATATTCATTCATACGAATAACTAAAGGTTACTTTATGAGATACGGTGGTTCGTTACGGGCGGTTTCTGAGCAGCGGAAATTATTGGTCGTGCCCATAATCGTTTTGAAGAAAACCAGTTGTGATGCAGCTAGCAGTTAAACAGTTACCCAGCAAATTTACTGATTTTTCCAAGCGTCAAGTTGCTCGAGGGCTCTCCTTCAGCATGTAGTTGTTTGTCCCGTATAATCATAGTGCCGAACAGCCAAATTTGCTGCGTTTACCCACAGTGCCTCTTAGTCACTTGGACTTCATCCATTACTTAATCTGAATTTCAAAAGAGTTGACTGGTTGGTACGGCACATTCCCGTGCAGCTGATTTGACAGACGGTATGAGTATCGCTTCCTCTGAAACAGCTGTTGAAACCAACTAGGAACGTATGGTACAGTGCGGTAGTAAAGGAGCATACCGTCCTGTTTTTACAGTACGTGAAGTCGGTGCCCCCACAGGTATGACAGTGACTCATTAAAAAACTGTAGTATCACAGAATGTTGAAGGTCAAATTAGCTTGTCAGATCGTGTGGAAATATACCACGCTCAACGATATGATGAAAATTTCCTTTCTTTTTTAACAAACCAACATATGCGTCGAAACAAATTCACTAAACTACTGCAACACCAGAACCAGTCAATTTCGAAGTCTTCTAAACTACATGCGGTCTTTCTGCACATCTTGCCTGTTCTCCTAATGATTCGACGGAGCACCAGACAGTAGGCACGCAACACAGTTTTAAGACCAAATTCCTGCAACCTTTTCGCAAGCAACAATATTCTTCCTGGCCAAGAAATTTTTATAGAAGCTTCGTGTTACAGAAAACTTTCATCATAAGTTACCATCTAAGTAGGTGTCCATGATAATACCAGGAAAACTGCTCTCCACCTAATGACCTGCATACAGTTAGCATGCTGACACCACTGGGCAACAACAATTCCTACTACAAGACTTCACCGACAAGTTACATTCACTTGGAGATCTTTCCGCGACTTTACGCAGTGTTTTTTTAAAAGCTAGTGCTGAACATGCAACGCAAATCAACAACAGGAGCGAGAACCCGTCGTACTGTTTCCCCACGTACCCATTGTCATGCCACTTGTAAACACGTCCCGTCAAATTACTGATCAACACCCGTAAAAACACGACAGTAAACAGCTGAATTCAGAAGGTAGTTGTTGTTCCAACCAAGACGTCCCACCCACGCCTCAAAAGTATCATATGTTTAGGAGAGTCCAAATTACTGACAACACCCGCGACAAATCATTGATCCCCTCTCCTTTAAACTACGTGCAACCTAGTCCTTTCAACCGAAAATCGACAATTTTGCTGCAATGGCAGTCAAACTATAAAAATATTTAAATGATGACGGAATAACCTTCCTCCTAATCTTCCGTGACTTGAAATGTATACTTTATTCATTTATTCGTTTATTTCGAACACGCGAAAAACGTCATTTCCATAACATATTGGGAACCGACACCTAACTAATAAAACTATAACTTAGGGAAGAAAACATAACGGATACATACCTTTCAGTGAAAAATAACCTCCTCCCTACCACATTTATAAAGGAAAAAAATATATATATACTTTTACCTCCTTCTCCGCTTCTATTTGTACAACCTATACAAACGTCATGATACCATACACCAATCATTTACTGCCTCGCGCAATTCAGGTGCTTATTAAAAATTTCTTAAATGCAGCAATGATTATATTCATTTATACACAAAAAGTGATGCACTCACTGAGAGACCACATCCTAAAATCAATAAAGAGACAATTCCATCTGTACTCCTCTGCCTAAACTGAATACAACTGTAAGGAACCATCGTGAAACAGACTCGGTTAACAGCCCAAACAACTTGAACCAAACTACTTCACAGTTCTAAGTTTCAATTTATGTCAAACGAGAGGATTTATAACACTTCTTGTTAACTTTCCAAGATTTCAATCCAACCGACAGAGCGAAAACTGAAGAGAAATGGCAGAAATAAATCCTCTAGTTATCGGTCCAAAAAAGCAAAACGTTCTCATAAAATAAACCCTCTCAAACGGTAGTCAGCACTACATTCAAAAGGACCCGAATCCAAAACAGTTTACACGTACTGCGTTGGTCGGCTCGTCCCGCCATGTCTTTTGAATCCCGATGAGCCTGACTTTCCTGGCTTGAAAGAATCCAGAAGCTGTTGTACGGCTGTTGTCGGTGCATCATTTGAACTGCACTGCTAGAAAGAAAGATGAAGCACCCAGCTACTTGATTTAATTAGAAACAAAGTCACTAGTCAGAGGAACAATTCCTTTCTTTAAAAGTGTAAAAAATCCAGGGATGTTGACCGAGTGAAAAAAACTTATGCAGCTACTTGCTGGAAAAGACATTCATAGCATTTACACTCACTGAATGATCCGCTTTGCTGTCTGCGAAAGACCGATCATCCGATATAATTGTTGCTGACGGTGAGTGATATTGCTGATAACCGAAACTCGGTAAGGATGAGGAATGCTGGAGGGAAGGACCCCACTGAGGACCTAAACCACCAGTTTCACTACCTTCAGATTTTAACTGTTCCTAACTATTGTCATCTACCAAATGAAAATTAAATGACCTGCACTTGGCATAAAAACCGGGCCATTAAACGCAGTTGCAGGTCTCACATTTCCTACAAAACATGCCTGTAACGGCCGCACAGATTCCGGCCACCCGGAAAGCGGCCTTTGGACGTCTGATGAGCAGTAAGGAGCTGGAACTAAAGAAGGAACTTTCCAACCCTAGCATAAAAAACACCTGTGTAAGAATTGTCTGACGAAGAACATGAAAAAAAAGGCAAGAAAAGAAATATGTAAAAAAATAAAAACATTGAAAAAGGAAAGGTTGAAAAAAAGGTTTCATAAAAAGACAGTCACAGCGAGAAAACCCTCTCTATTACAGTTGGAACTACCACAAGAAAATCGAACCTTTAGAATCAAAAGGGGGTACACGAGTGACCCCACTTCTTAATGGCATCCAGGTTTCACTCTAAAAAGGTTACCAAAAGTAATCAACCTTTTTAATTCAATGAGAAATTTATAAAACAAACCGAAGCAACAAATCTATTGTTTTCCCTAACAAGCGTCCGGAAGTCTTCCTCAACAAATTTGTAGTCTTCAGGTACAAGATTACAAGATACATTTTCAGGCATTTTCAGAATCATAGTTCGCGTTTTATACACGCTGTCTAAGTTGAGTTCAGCAGATTCTATCGTTACTTGGTCCTGAAAAGCAAGAGATCAAGGCCAATTTGGAATTATTCAACGCAAAATCTTACAAGAACTTCAAAAATGCGAGTTTGTTTTCAAAAAACAAGTATAAATATCGACCAGTAACTTAATGAACCTACTCTGATAGGGTCGTCGTTGAAAACTCTTTCAAATTCCGAACTGGATTTGATATGCACCTTCACATCTAGACCACTTCCCTCTCGGCAGCAAAATGGGGCATTTTGTTGTTCAACCAAATCTACGTGCTCAACCTCGAATGTCAAACTTACTGGTAGCAGCGCCTAAAAGTATAGTACAAGTGCATTCTAAAGCAAATGGGTCTGATTAAGTAAAGTAGACCCAGAGGAAGGCAACTTACTTGAATGTATTTACGAGCCAGTATCGCAGCTTTTGCGGTACCTGTGAAATAAAACATAGTAGCTCCAACATGACGATCAGAAGGAGTAGGAAAAAAAATTGCAGCGTTTGATTTCAGGCTTACCAAACGCATGAGGAACCCATCAGGGAATCCTGTAACTGCCAGCTGTTGCGGCAGTGGGATATTCATCCACGAAACACAGAAATGTCGTGAAGCCTGAAAAAGAAATTTCTGGTATTAACATGGAAGTATAAAAGATTTTTGTACTCTCTATTAAATACCTCACACAATATAACTCTTTTGCAGCTCTGTAACAGTTATCCATACGCTTAAAAACGCACCTCAGTCTCTTCATTCTTGTAGAACAAACTGTTTATTGCTTCACATACATCATAAATGTCTTTCTCATGGCACATTGCTCCCTCAATAACACAAACTGATACATCCTAAAACGAGTTCTCAAGAACAGTAAAAATTGATACTAAATGCACTCCACAATTAGAAAAGTGGATCTAAAATTACCGCATTCTGATATATTTCACGAAAAAACTGTCCAACAAATGCTGGTCGAGAAAGTATAGAAATCTTCAGATGCGGGTACTGTAACCGTTGTTCAAATAATTTTTCATCCACAGCTTTCTTCATCTTTTCTTGTGACGCATTTGGATGAAAGTAATCAAGGTGGAAGGCAATAGACACGGGGAACAACTTCTAAATAATTAGATGAAGCAAAACAAATTTATATTACTAGAGACCTTCGATTCTAAAAAATGGTAATACGTTATGTAACAACCTAACCGTACCCGAATTCGCTTCCTCGCCTCTTCAACCTTCTCCAAAAAACCAATTAATTTCACCTGAAAATAAAACATGAATGTCAATATTACAATGAAGATCAAAAAGAATGGTTAGAGCAAATATGAGCCCGATATTCAAAAGAGCATTATCTGACGAAAAGTAAAAAAAGAATGCAGCACAACCTTTCCATCAATTGCTTTTCATATAAAAAATTATTGACGTAAAAATAAGTCCATAATAATTAATTTGATAATCCCTTTCACCTTACTTGACGGTTTTGCATCGGCTAAGCACATATTCTCAGAGTAGGAAAAAAAACATATATTAAGATGCGTCGCACCTGATTGACATAGTTTGCGTTAGCTCCAGTTGGGAAAACATCAGGAAATTGTACACGCACTCCCGTTTCTTGCATTATCAACGGTATAGAATCCTCGTTTTGAAAACAGTTCGACAAACCGATAATACCAGGATAGTCGGCGTTTGGGACTTCAATAGCTAGAGTTACTTCTTCTGATGGTTGCGGCTTAAAACATCCTGGTTAAGTACAACAAACAGATGGTTTTCATCAGTCATTAAAATAAAGCTACTAAGATATAACAGTAAGTGTTGTGAAAAAATCAAGTAGAAAAAGTGTGAATAAAAATAGCGGTTATTTTAAGAACTTCAAATAAGCAACCTTATTGAGCTGGCGCTAAACCACTGAAAAAAACATCACCCATATCCTGCTACTGCTTCTCATTGCTTTTACAAGATGGCGACAACGAAGAGCAGCACAAAGTACTCGCCTTATTCCAGTTACTTCCACACAACAAAGCGATGACACCGTACCTGTTTTAAAAAATCCGGACAATGTTCTACATTGCTCCCACAAAATCGTTCCGCATCGAACAGTCTCTTTTGATCCCTACCCAGTCGTATTCTGCGACTCATATCATCACTCATCTAAAAAGCCGGAAAGCAAAATAAGAAAAATGGTTACTGCTAAACAAAAAAATTTTCTTGTTTTTGTGAAAACCATATCTATACATTTCATTTTTTAAAACTTTTACTAAAGTCATACCTGCGAACTTTGTTGTGCATAGTGGTAACAGCAGGGTAATCTTTCAGCTTTTTGCTGCTTAAAAAAGTCTTGTTCAGACGGAAACAATGATATTGTTCGCTTGTAGTTGTTTCTGGAACTAAAATTCCCTCGACTGCGCCAACCATCCACTGGCATTTTCTTGATGTTAGCTTATACATATAAATATAGCATGAAAAAGTAATTATTAGCCAGTAAGTTTGCGTCCCTGCATACGGAAATGTGTACTGCAAATACAACAACAGTAATATAAATGGCAGTAAATTGATTTCTCAAGAAAAAAAAAAAAAAAGACAAAAGACGTTTTTTTTCCTTTATTATTTTTTAAATAAACATTCATTAAAAATATGTTAACATTACCAGAAAATCCACTACTGTTTAGATGTTATAAAACAGTAAAAGTTTTTATTCTCAGCGGACAGCAATGATAAAGGTGTACAGCTGCCGAAAACCGAGCAGCTGTTGCAAACACCGCGTTCATTCATAACGGTAAAAATAAGGATTATTTAGCATAACTGCTGTTTAGGTTACTATCATTTATTAACTGCTATTTCTTCGTAAACAACGGTAGTTTTCTGTTAAATATAAAATATGAACAACAAATTTAAGCTTAATTTATTTTCACTCATTTGTTTAAAAATTTCTAATCAAAAAAATAAAATAAATAAAGAGAAACAAATAAGCAAAACAAACATTACATTGAAAAGAATTGTAAAAAAAAAAAAGTCCTATTTTCTAGACTTAAACTTTTGACAATTGTTTTCAAAGCAAATTTTTTATACGAATAGAAATAGATAAACAAAAAAAAAAAAAAAAAATTGTAAATTAATAAGCAGAAAAAAAAAATTTGTCGGTACTCGCGTTTAATAGTGTTCAAAATGGAAATGTGTAACAATATGATAAACGAACGCACTGATGACCAAAGAAGATCAGCAATTAGTAAGACAAGGAAATGTGTCCAGAATAAGATCAAACCACAAAAAAAAGAATTCTTTTTTTTATCATCACTCGAAAAAAAAAAA